AAATAAATGCCACATATAAAACTGTCAGCAGAGAAGAAGGTACACATGGACTAAAAATAATTTTTTTAAAATCCACTACATAAAACAAGTAGAACTAGTCACAACTCTTCATGCTTTTTGATGCATATACTCATGTCTCCTAGGAAATGTGAAGTCTGTAATCATAAATTTCATGTTTCAGTTTCAAAATACAGTCTCCCTCCCTGTGATGTTCTCGCAAATAAGGATTCACAAAACTTCCTACAGGAAGCTAAACAATGCTCCCAGCACTGCATAAGAAAGATGGTCCAGAGAAAAAACAATGAAATAAGCGGAGCCAAGTTCTCTCAGCTACTATACAGTCTTCATGATTAGTTTGAGACTTACATTTTCCATGAAGCAGATTGCACCGAGGAATCCAATGGAGTTTATGGTGATGACTGATGTGGAAGAAGGGTACAGCATGACAAAATCGGTTAAGACTTTTATGTTCATGCTTATCTGCATATGAGGGAGATATTCCTCGACGCACCCCAAACTGATGTTGTGTATGGTACTTTTCTACTTTATAGAAATTTAACAGCAACAATTGATCGCATGTAACTTGAGGAAACAAGTAATAAATGCAAGACAGAAACCTATGCTTAAGTGAGGCAAGCTTGGTTGGAATATGATTGAAACTTTGGGAGAAGTTCTTGGGAAACTTTATATTGGCTCATATAACATGGTTAACTAGTTCTAACTAAATACTCCAGCATGAATAAGACAAAGTCATAAATAATTTTCAGAAGAGCCTTAGACCTACATCGTAAGCAGCTCGTCCCGATATCTGAAATGCGAGCCCCAAACAGATCTAAATGAGTCAAACCCGTAAGACCTGCACCAAAACAGGTGAAGACATCATAAACCTTTTATTCACTATGTGTTGACTGATTAATTAGTATTTAATAACAATGCTCTTACTGCTACAAATTTTTTTCCAAAGATTCAACATCCATGATTACACATTACAACATGAACAAGATTCATAATAATACTAGAGACAAAATTGATAGAATTCAACATGTATATCAAATGGGCATATGATTTCTGTGCAGGCAAAGGGTAGTGCATGATAATGCAAGCATCCAACAAAAGGGGTTTTAAAAAGAAATAACTCTCACATGGACATTGTACAAAAAACGACAAGCTCTGCATACCGGAAGTAAACAGTATACACTCAAAAAACCATCTAGGGTTTTTCATCAGATGTAAGGCCTCAAAAGTGCAATATTCAACACAAATTTGTGATGCACCCCATAAACAGCATGATGCCATTCTTTAGTCAGTCATTTCATGAGATGTGTTCACTTCAAAACTTACCTTGAAGCTATAAAATAGCTACAATGCCTTCAACCTTCTCTCATTTTTTCCATCTTTGGAGAAAGCGATAAAAAAGAACAAGTACCAGTGACAATATCTTTTGTAAATGGGAATAGGTTTGGATATTTCTGCCAAGCTAATTAATCAATTTATTTGTTTTCAAGTAAATATTTTGTTTTCAAGTAAATATTATGAGACTTTCTCCAGAATAGGGAAATACTATCAAGTCAGGCAGGACTGTTCCCCGGATTTGGTGAGGAGGCTAGTTTTTAGAATGTCATCATAGTGGTATTTATACCTTGGAGGAGGGAGAAGTGAAGGTTGGAAGAAGGTGAGGCAGTCTAGACAGTACTTCAACGGCATAGGAGCATGAATATAATGGATGTTTTTGTGGGCGGATGATTTCTGCTCAGGTTTAAACACTGTATGGGTAAGAAGCAAGCCTGGGTTCGAGATTGAGGTGTTTTTTTTTTTTTTTCTTCTTTTTTATAGGTGTCTCTTTCTTTTCTTTTCTCACCTCCCCTCCTTCCCCCCCCCCCTTGAGGCTGTCCAGAAGCATAATTATAAATTTCAATAAGGATCTATGAAGCAGATGAAGAAATGATTTCTCATCAAAAGTTGCCCACAAGAAAAACTTGCGATTAAATTCTAGGAGACAACCTAACGAAGTACAAGTTTCCAACATGTCGTATACATGAAGAAAGAAGTCGAAATTGAGCATCTATTGACCAGTTCATGGGAGGAAAATAGCCATCTCTTTCACATGAATATCATTTTTTCCATCACACCAACATCTAAAGGATCATTCTTTAGTCAACAATGGAACTCATTCCCCTCAGCTCTCCATACTTCTAGGTTTATGGAAAGAAGTACAATAGTAGCGTCCTCACTGGTAGAATTGGGGTAACTGGTGGAATGAGTTGAGATCAGTCCTATGTACTAGGCTAAGGGGAATCCTGGTCTCATGGACAAACTTTCTTTGGAAGTTGCCTATCAAAGTAGCTATAAAGTTGGGAACATAGAGGTAAATTCTTCAGCTGAAGTGTCGTCACTAATAGATGGTTTTAAGTGTATGGGATCCTATATTGTAGCTCAACAAAGATATTGTGCAGTTAATTCTTTCTTCAAAATCCTTGAAATGTTGGACAAGCAATCATTACCATAGTCACAAAATAACATGCATTTGTATTTTATGTGCACCTATTCAATTTTTAGATTTGTAGTGTCATTCTTATCATATTTAATTACATTAACAGATAATATATCAAAACGACAAGAAAGATATACGATATCCAAACGTTAAACGAATATCAGAATACTTGTTGAATAGCAAAGCAGTCTTGGAGTTAATGTGTAGTTTATCGGTGTCAACTGAGTAGAAGAAATTTATTTATACAGAAAGATGATACAAATTGAAAAAGAATAATAGTATTAGATCTGCTTTTGAGATTTAAACTTCAAAAGCATATAACAAAACATATTTTCTTTTTTCTCAAGAATTTTTGTAGCTATATGGAGGAGGCAGAAGGGTACAGAAATTTTACAAACACCAGAAAGAAAAAGAAAAGAAAACAAGACAGCTGAGGGCAATTGTAAGTTTGCCTAACATTTTATGCAGCTCCTAGATACAGGGTCATCAGATGCATAAAAATTAAGAAATCCAGATAAGATTTTATCTATATATATCATATTCCAAGAGAGGTATGGTACTCCAAAGGAGCACCTGCCATACATAACTAATGATGGACAGTAGAAATTACTGAACCTGGTAAACTGCCACGATGGCATCTACTACTATTAATTTCAAATGCACAGCAACTTCCCCCCACACACCATTCCCCATTCCATTATGGTAGATTTTCAATTCAAAACACACAAATACCATACATTCAAAAAGAGGGAAAAAATCCACAAAGTATATCCACTGTGAGTGGCCAGCAGGCAAGCTGATATGCAAATCTTGAACAGACAATTGAATAAAAAAGTCTTGACGCATACAGAGTTATATTTCCGTGCATATAAGATGTTCTACACATTAGACCAATGTTTGAAAAATTCCAATCCAGATCAGAATCAGCCGATCGGGATTGGTTATCAGCAGGAACCAATCAAGTCCCCGGTCGGAACAGGGAATAGGCCGGTTTTGCATAGAACCATCTGGTTCTTCCCGGCCAGATCACCTGGTTCCCACATTTTATAAATTTTATTATTTCTTTCGATTTTTTGTTATTGTTTTCAATTTTTTATTTTTGTTTCCCGAATGGCCCGTTCACTTGACTGAACTGGGTTTTCAAACATTGCTTTAGACACAACTAACAACAACATCATCTAGACAAAAGTCGCCCAAAGTCAGGCAAAAATAACCCAATATATCAATTGCAATTGCCAAACAGTTGATAGAAACCTGAATACGCCAACTCCAAAAAAACAAATACGGAATCAAGGATATTTTTGCGAAATAACTAAGAATAAATCAGCCATGAAGAAACAATGACAGAACCACGAATTGTTATGAGATTCGAAGGTTCTGGAGCAGCCACACAATTTATGGAAAGACACCATTATGATTTTTTTTTTTTCCTAAAACAAGAATTAAAAGAGACAATTCAATGTATTTCATAACAACAAAATGTTCAAAGGAAACTACAGCAAAAAGCATAAAAGCAAGCCATGCCGCAATAAGGTTCCTGGTGATGCAACAACATCTGAGGACAAAACCGAGAGCCAATGCAAAGTATCACATAATCATGCCATCGAAAAATTTACAATTGAAAGAGATTACCTGTAAGTGCTGCAAGCCCGGCATCTGTGATTTGTCTAGTGTCCAGGTTAAGTGACTTGAGTGATGTCAACCCAGAGAGCCTTCTCAAACCACTATCAGTAATTTGAGTAAATGACAAATTTATACTCTCCAGATTGCGCAAGACTGCCACCCAAGGTCTACCCAATCAGATATTTAGTTTTCACATCTAATACATACTAGTGGGATAAAATAAAACACGCAATAATCACAGTGAGATGTTTGTAATTTGAATGTATCTGACTAATCAATGGAAGTCACAAGCCACACAAATCTTAAATTCTTCTTTCACGCCACACAATAAGTTTGAGATTTAATTTGTTCAATATGATTTACAGGTAAGACTCATTCTCCCCCTTTTAAAAGAAAGCTAACTGAAAACATGGGGGCTACTCACACAACATAGAACACCCAGGTGCAAATTGGAGAAGGCCCATGGAGTTATTCCAGTTAAGTCACATATAGTTTACTCCAAGAAGAATCTAATAGCATCAAAAAGCATGTGGACGATAAGGTGAAATTCGTGTGTATAGTTTGTTGGTTTCTGACACACACAACTAAAACTAGTGGCCTTAATGGAAACAGGACTACATTGTCAGAAACAGTAGCAAGAGAAATGGAAACCATTTTGATTTTCTTGATTCTGTTCAAACATCATGAATATATGAGATGTTAAAATTTGAGTTATAATAGATAGCTTCATTCTTTATATCATTATATCCTGTAAAATTGACGAAGAGTACAAAAGGGCTTTGAAGCTAAATATCAAGGGAAGTGCCAAAGGAAACTGGAGACTGATGGTTTTAATCAGTGCAGTATCCAATAGGGAAGATTGCAGAATGTTTTGCTGGGTTTCAACATTCAGTTTTGAGAATAGAATGAGTCACTTTTGTATGGGAAATTTGCCAAATGGAGTTTTATCAAGGGGATTTTTCTGCATCCTATTAGATTGCTTAAGATGGAGGTTCACCTCAATAAACTCTACAGATGTAATGCTACCCACATTTGATCCATTATCGAGATCTCTCAAATACCGAGGGAAGCTAATCCAATTACTGGTAGCCTAGCTAACGTGCATTTCAAATGTTTCATGGTATTCACATTATATATAATATGATGCATGAATTACAAATAAAATCAAGTATTAAAGCTTCCTTTTTAATACTTATTAGTGCTTTCTTCTAATGAGGTTTCTATTTATGTCAACAAAACAATTTCAATCCTAGAGATTCCTAGTTTTTATTTCTTGACATCATTGTCTCTCTTCAAACAGGACTGTGAAAACTACTTCAACAGGATAAATTGCCAAAACATCCCTAATAGCAGCTTTACTGATAATTTGCAAGGTACAGGGTTACGTCAGTTCTAGGAAATTTCTCTTTTCAGGCAGCAAAGTTTCATTTCTTATTCAGAAAGAACCAACAATCCAGTAGGAAGGAGGTGTTTGAATGACTCGAAAGTTCTAAATGAACACTAGTTCTAGGTTTTTGAAGTGACCAGGTCCATAACTAGTTCTAGGTCTTTGAAGTTAAAAGGTCCTTAAAAAAAAAAAATGGGGATTCAACTTTACGTGAGAAATTAGGGTTAAGATTTTCAAGGGGTTTTCATTTTGGTTTAATGCTAAGAAACTACGGGTTGATTTTTTTTGAGTTCTGATGGATTCTTTGAGTAGGGTATGTGTGTTGTATGAAGGATTATAATAGAAGAACAAAACTAAAGAAAGAACAAATCGAAAAATAAGGAAGAAAGAGAGAAATTAAGAAAGAGTGAAGAATAATAATGATTTAGGGAAAGGTGAAAAAGAAAACAAGGGAAAAAAGGAGAGGACAAAACAGTTTAAGGAGAGAGAAGGGAAGAAAGGGAAGAAAGGAAGGAAAGCGAGTAGAGGGAGAACCCCAAAACAAGATATGCCAAAGGGGTGGGACATCCCTTTCTCCCCTTTTAAAACGAAATGACTTAATTACCCTTAAATAAAATAAAATAGCAAGATAATAAACTACCCTTAAATTCTCTACAACGACACATGTACCCTTAGGTAACCAAAATAAATAAATAAAACCAATAACCTTAGTGTTCACTTCCCAAAAGTTAAAAACGATTAAAACCCTATTACCATGATGTCATCATCAAGCATGCCTTCATGCAAATACTAATAAAAATCCTCCCACCTACTTTGTAACTCACGCTCATCAATCCATGAACAATCAATCAATGGAGAATCTTTCCAAAGAACAAAGTATTTCCTTAATGAAATAAGGTGCACATCAACTAACCTAAAAATCCACCATATCCTCTTTCTCATCCTGACTAGCTCTTGGCATCTCCCTATAGTCTCCAATGAACCAGCATCCAAGTGTATAGGTGGATCTCCTCAAAACTCGTAAATATCAGCAATAGTAAAGATCCAAGGGAGGTGAAGGTACTCAAGAAAGTAGAAAGTATAGGAGATAAAGCATTTTCCCTAGCCTCTTAAGAATCCAGTATGGCCCAAAGCTTTGCTAACAAAACATGTTGTTAATACCAAATCGCAACCCTTCCCACCCTCAACGTAACATGACAAAGTCCCCTCCACAAAAGGATCGGTCATGTCGATGCTCATCTACAACCTCCTTATATTTAGGCATAATTGGCTCTCAAGATGTAAAGGACTTCCTTTTTTCCCTCAAGGCCGTATTTGTCGGCTTCTTCACTTGTCCTTCCTTCATAGAGTAATGGAACACAGTCTAAAATGTATGGAACGAACTGACCATACACTATCTCGAAGGGAGACTTCCCAATTGATCGGCTAAGTGAGTATTATAAGAAAATTCTACTTAAGGAAGACTCGGATCTCGCTGATCCAGCATCTCACCAGCAAGATACCTCAATGAATTTCCCAAACTGAGTCGACTAACTCGGTCTATCCATCAGTTTGACGATGATAGAGTTATACCTAGTTTTGAGCACAATGTTCTCCAAAAATGACTTCGCTATACCATGAACTACTTCTCTAAAGCAACGATCTGCAACATGAGATGCACTATAGATCTTTTGACAAGGAATGAAATGGGTTATTTAAAAAAAGAAAACAGCCCAATATTGCAAACTTGTAATCATATTTCCTAGCAGATCTAGGTAAATCTAACATAAAATCCACACTTGAAAAGAACATAAAGTCCACACTCGCTTAATCACTAGGAGGATCTGGGATGGTAAAGGGAGTGTAGAGGCCGGTATTTTGAGATTGAACTTTAAAAACTCACGTAAACGACAGCGTTCTACATATCGCTTCACATCACATCTCAAACCAAGCCAAAAGTACCTCGCCCCTACCAACGCAATTAGCTAGACCAAAATGTCAACAAGACCCCCACTATGCAACTCAAGAATGACATTCTAGCAAATAAAACTCTGGTATGCAAATTGGAATCACATGGAACAAAACCCATCCTAAAGAACAAACTTGGAAGTCGGTTGTGTACCATTAGACTGACAATACCCTCATATAGGCCCAAGTATGGATCACTAGCATACTGGTCCTTAAGGGACTCAAAACCCACCGTTGTACTAGGCAATGTATTAAGGAGGAACAACCCACAACTCAAGGCATCCCTCACCTTATTGTCAAATCTAGATTTGTGGTTAAGGGTAAACATATATTCAAGTAAGAATGTGACCCATGTCGCAAGTCAACTATTTAGTGTACGCTGAGAATTAAGATATCTTAATACCTCATCGTCTGAATACCACACAGACTCCACCTGAATCAAATAATGCCCTCCAAGATGCCCCTCTTGGCTCAACACGGCTCCTCTCACAATATGGAAGCACCTCAAAGACCTCAAAATCGTGATGCAACAACACTGGTGCATCTGTCATTTTGGCCTTTATGAGTTGGAAACTCTCTTCTGCTTCTGGAGTCCAGCTAAATACCCCTTTCATCATGCAGTTACAGATTGTGGCACTCACGGCGCTAAAATTTCAGATAGATCTCTATAGAATGAAGCAAGACCGTGAAACTCCACACCTCACTAATGGAACTCGAGGTCGGCCAGATCTTGATGGCGTCCATCTTAGCTGCCTTAAACCCTTCTATTGAAACAAAGAGACCTAGAAAAATCAAATTTCTGGTTAAGAAGATATAATTCTTAAAGTTGGCATACAGCTTGTCCTCCCTCAAGATATCTAGTTCTCTCCACAAGTGTGTCAAATTACCATCTCGGATAATACCATATATTTGAATATCATCAAAGTGTACAACCACAATTTCCAAATGAATGATAGTAAGACCTGGTTCATCATATGCATAAATGTGCTTGGTGCATTGGACAAACCAAAGGGCACGACTAGCGACTCAGCAAAGACCCTCACAAGTCTTGAACATTGTCTTCCATTTATCTCTAAGTCAAATATGAATCCGATGGTGTCCATTTCTTAGGTCAATCTTAAGAGAAAATTTGTGCGCCACTCAACATACCCAGAGCATGTTATCAAGCCTAGGTATGAGAAACCTATAATTGACAGTAATCCTTCTGGTGGTGTGACTATATCAAACTTTCTCCCAACTACCATTCTTTTTCAGAATTGAGTTCACAGATCGTACACAAACTCAAGCATTCTCACATAAGTCCTCAGCACTTCTGTGTCTTTTGATGTATTTCCGTACCATAGAACCCAAGGGTCCGCATGCGGCAAGCATACCTGAAAACAAGCTTAAAACGTAAGGACAGGTCTGGGTATCATTTTACCCTAAAAACCCTTAAAGGTAAATGATGTTTCCCAACCAAGGATGGCCCACCAATTGAAAACATACAGCATTGTCTACTTCGCCAAATTCCATTAATTTATATGCCGAAAACTGCCATAAAATGCAAAAGATGGTGGTTGGACCCCCAAATGCGTTGTCTATCAAGGCCAATTTAGGAGGATCCTCATTTTGGGTGATGGAGGATCTCCCAAATGAAATCCATGGGATTTGGGTTCGATTATGACCAGATCTCATGATCAGATAGCCAATAAAATAGCATAATAACAACAAATGAAAAAGGATGCAAATGGGCCTTGCATTGGGCCCAAATCTTATCCAATATACCCCTAAGAGATTGATGGAGGGAAAAATTATTCGTATTTTTATTTTTATTCAACTT